TCTAGGAATATAAAAGGCAGGTGGCAGCAAGCAGTTGGGTTGAGTTACCCTGTCCCAAAGTTAAGTGCAAGGAAAAAATAATGGTGAGAGGCACAGACATTTGCAGACACAATGAAGATGACTGTGGGCGGAAGGTACACGATGTTCTTTACCCTTGAGGGACCACTGGATAAAGGCTGCTCATGCATGAAACTAGGTTTCAGTGGGGGATCTCCAGTCCTAGTGACAGAAGTGTTTGTCCAAGATCAGCCATAGGATCATTTCCAATCTGGGTCCTTGATGTGGAAGAGAACTGAGAGGGGAAGAAGTCACTGATCAGCAAATTTTTCAAAAGTATCTATCCCAGTCATTTTGAAAGCTGTTTCATTCATCAAGTGACCAAGGAGATTTTCTGTGGTCTGACATTAACTTTGGAAGGTGTGCATCAATCAAGAGGTCTTTCTACCATCTGGCTTGTACCATAGCTTGAGCTGCACTGTTAAAGAGTTTGGGTCCAGATGCCTTCCTGCCAGCTCTCCAAGGGAAAAACCAAAGGTTTCCTAAGAGGGAAGTTTTCAATACACATGGGATGAGGAACTTCTCGGGAAGAACTCTCAGTGGTCAGGGCATGAGAGAAAAGCCAGCAAATTGGTGCAGGAGAAGCAGGTCCCTGTCGAGTGAGCGACACAGGAGAACTGTGTGAGCTGTCTGACGTGAGGCCAAACCCAGGCTCCACTCAGGAGACATGGGGAGTGCAGAGGTGAGATAGAGACTCAAGGGGCTCCATAGAAATTTGGCAAAAATGGGAAAATGAGCCTGAAATTACCCACATACAGCAGTGAGGGTGACTGCCAGGGTGAAACAAAAGACTTTGATGGATGTGAGGTCCAACATCTAGAGACAGAAGTGGAGACCACTCTGCTTGGAGTAACACCTCTATGACTTAAACACCAGAGATGTGTTCTGTTGGACAAGAATGTAATCTGACTGAAAACAGTCTGCCTGAATTTGTCTGGACCTAATACCAGAGATTTTCTTGCAGGAGGAACTTGAGGGATGGAGAACAGATCATCCATATCTGTAGTAGTAAGTTGAATGGGATTAGTTTATGGGTAGTGAGACATGCTTGCTAAATGGTTACTCTGATGTCTAAATGTTGTCAGGATCTTTGTTGTAGCTTAGGAGTGGGTCATCTAGCCATCTCCTGAACAAACCATGGGCATGGTTCAGGGGCTAGCACAGACCAGGGACAGTTCTTGGTACACATCTTGAACACAACAATCTTATTTTGGAGGCAAGGAGATCTGGTGAGTAGTCTTCCACTTCTCCAGGAAACTGCCCCTTGATGTTTTAGTTGCTAATATACATGTAAGATTACTCCAGTCAGGCAGATTACTCAAGGCAGCTTCAAACTTACAGAGCATGCTGCTGTTGTAGATGTTGATTCAGAGGAAGGGGATATAACATCATCTGACATATCCAAAGCTGAAGAAGACAAGCGATCTTTTTTTTGTTGCACAAATACAGCTTATCAAAACCTTGTGCACAATATTTACAGAATAACAGTGAAAATTTGGACATTTCCTCTTCAGAGTAACAAGACAGGAGCATTGTCAAGATTATAACGAGGAATTTAAGACAAGAAAGAAGAAATAAAATGCTGCAGAACCTCTGTATTAATTTGACCTTTTTGATTTCTGCTCTTCCTTTGTGGTTCTGATTGGGGTTCTTTTTAGACTCTGTAGATAAAAAATATATATATATATATATATAAAAATAAAAAAGGTTACAGTTGTGGGGAAGAAGCATCTCTTTTTTTGGCTTGATAGAGCTCCAAATTCAGAGACATGGGGATCAATTAAGTTGCTTAAAAATAGGCTCCAGTGCCATGGGGAAAATCCTAGGTTTTTTCTAATGCATTTGGTTGAAATCAGCCCTATATTGCCCTAACATCTTTTCAAGATACATGTAGAAAATTGACTCAAAAAAATGGACTTCTTGCCTCCATGACTAATTGTGATGATAGAAAAGAAACTGATTGTGCATCTGTAATTATTGGAGGAAACAACAAAAAACACTTTGGTTTTGCGTTTTTAGCACTATAGATACCATGGTTATAACTTATTATTTATTCAGAATTAATATACTGAATAATACAGGACATTTAATTGACTTTTCTGACTGCTATGGAACACAGGTATGTTATCTTCAAAAACAGTCTAAATATCAGCCCAAAATCTTGTTTCTGGGTAGAGATAGTTCAGATCCCATCACTGTGTTTATGAAGCCAGGTGTGTATATATGTATATGTATACACACCTACACACATATATAAATTTGTAATACTGGAGATGTTTATTGATTGCCATTTTGTCATCCAGTCTCTTACTATTAAGTGTTACTTGTACAGTTCTTCACACTCAACTTTCAGTCTTGTCATCCTGAATACTTCAGTATCATCATCAAAACTTGTTGCTGTTTTAGCCATTCCCTTTTCCAAATCACTTGGGAATATATGAGACTGCACAGACTTACTTGTTTAAAAAGATTGAATGGCTCAATGAGGCTTGAGTCAAAACCACAGAGAAAATTGCTCTTAGTAAAAAGAAAAGATCACAGTTATCTTTTTAAGAAGATATTTATTTTTGTGTGTGAATAAAATAACAATATATATATTGCTTCACATCCTCCAAGAGCTGCATGAACCTGAACTGATTGAACATCCAAACATCCCCGTGAGGTAGGCTGGAATAAGTGACCAAGGTGCCAAAGTGGCTTGTGTATTAAAAGCAAAAAAAGGAGTGACTTCAGCGAGGAAAAACCTGGATCTCCAGAAGCAGTGTGCTAACAGGATGTACCCTCTGGAAGCTTCTTGTAATGCTCATTTTCAGGAGGATTTAGATAGAGGAGGAATCCATCAAAATCACCTCCTCAAGGCAGTGGAAATGTTGCTGGTACAAGGGCACTGAACCAGGAAAGCCTTCTCTTCTTATTCTGCCCAAGTCCTGTAAGGGTACAAAGGGTCTTGTTATTTTGCTGAAGTGTAATCTAAACTCAACCTCTAAAAGCCTCAATACCTGCTAATTACCTTTCAGAATAAATGTACAAGGTGGGTTCAGCCTGCATGTTTAAAAACCTACATTTAGATGCCTCCATCGAAGGGTGTCCGTGTGTGATGGGTATCTAGGTCTGCAGACATCCAGTCCACAACAACTATGGTCACTGGCAAACTAGTTATCACTAGTAATAAAATTTTGATTCATCTCACCCCACAATAAAGATTGAGAATTTGATTTAGTTACTGAATCACACAAATCTAGTGCCATTTAAGGTGATCTGGTCTATCTGCTTGGCCTCCAGCCCTCTTTTCTGAAAAACAGTATTTTCCCATAGGTCATGAGCTACCTCAACCAGACGTGTATATATGGTTTAACTACTCCAAGGCACCTCAGATGCCACTAAGCATCTCAACATAGCTTACTGAATCAAACTCATTCTGTCCAGTTTCAAAGATATTTCAAGCAACTCAGTAGGTTGAAACCTGAGCTGAAAAAAAATTTATATTGTGTCTCAGAATACCCTGTTGGTTTCAACTTCTACTACTGTATTGATTAACTCTGTTGAAAATCTAACAGCCAATTAGGAAGAGTTTTAATCCTGAACATTAGTATCCGTCAATATCATGTATGTGTACATTCTTCCAAGAAAGAGTATTTCTGTAGAAAAATTACATCTGGAGCCAAACTCAAAAGGTCTTTTTCCTTTCACAGCCCCAATTCTCCTTTGACCAGGCCTAACAGATGTTCTTACAGAAACTTGGAGATTTGCCACCTGCTCCTACAAGTCTGTTTGGAATCAGCAGAAATTGCTTCCTAAAGAGAATGATTGTTCACAGGCCTTGAGGGTTCACATAATTCCTTTGTAAAATCATCTAATAACAGGTTACTTCTGTAGCATTTACTTTCCTGAATTCCTAAGTGGATGCTTCCTTAGCATCTTAATCTCCCAACAACAAACACATCCTATTATTGGTATGACTTGGTTTTCTTGAAACCACTGAGTGAGGATCCCCATGTGCTGAACAAATGCTGTGAAACCTCTTCCCTAGAGCCATCTCATCACAATTTCTTCAGTTTCTGGGAACCTTTAAAACCCTGACAATTCTATAAATAACAAGAAGTTCTGGAAAAATCAGAAAATACAGGTCTGAGCTCTCTATTTTGAACCTGGCTCTGTCCATTCACATCAGTGGCTGAGAATCTGCCTGAATGTCTCTTGCTGGGATGAGTTATGTGATAGTCACTGCAGCTGGCAATGATCACCATGTGGCTGTCAGTGGAACAAAACTATTGTGAGAATCAAATGCCTGAGCATTTATCCTAAGCTAAAGTGCATGCCCCAAAAGCATGTTCAAAACCTTAAGGAAAGAAAAAATCTTGCTACCAGGGAAGCTCCAGACATTATTAGAAAGTGGTCTCCAAAGTCAAAAGTTAAATGCACACCCAGTTGTCTCCAGTCACAAACAAATTCACACTTCTTCACCTTTCTAAGAGCTGCACAGTGGTAGGAGGAAGGAGAGATGAGAAAAGAATGAGAAACAGAGTTCTGTGAACATTTCCCCCCATTTAAAATTAAATTTTCTATGTCATTTTGGAAATGAAGAGAGTGAGGATACGTTGTTTTCCCTGATGGGTGAAAATACTGTGAAATATTTTCCTAATAATTTATTGGAAAAACTTCTGTTTCCCCCTCCTCCCCATCAAGATTTAAAATAAAGTGAAAAATACTAAATTCTGGGAGATTTTGACCTTCCTGAACTTTTACTCTCATACATAACTACCATCAGAATGAATTATCTCCTTAAACACACATCTACAATGTATACATGTTCATCCTCCATCTGGACTTTCTCACGGATGGCTGCCCTGCAAGCCCCGTGGAGTTGTGCATATTATTCAAAGAAACGGTAGATAAAACGGCAGGACAGAAATGCCGTCTGATGCCCCTTGGTCCTGCGGCACTTACTTGGAACAGCATTTCATCAGCCCCCCGTGGCATGACCCCGAGGTGGTGAAGGTGGGTGGGCATGCCCCAGCACGGCAGAAATTTCCCTGGCTCCTACACTCTGCGGTGTCAGCAAAAAGAGGATCTGCAGAACCTGTGCGAAGGGGAAAACATTAAAATCTCAGTTTTCAGTCTAAAATGATGAAGGATAAATATGCAGTAAATCATCTGTTGCTTTTTTAGGCAGAGGGTCATCATGAGCACAGATGTTCTTGGTCCCATCCACTGCATAGCACCATCCCAGCAGCATCAGATTTTGCCTGACGGTTGATGATTGCTTTTTTCCTCCCCATGCACACGCTTCTGCTTACAAGCCCTCTCATTCTTCACAGAATTTATTTTGCTTCTCACCTGGAGCAGCCTGGAAGAGGAGGAAGACGACAGCGAAGAGCAGGTAGAGGATCCTCATGGCCACCAGTTGTTTGCAGACTGTGTGCTCCTGCAAAGTGCCTGAAAGATCGATGGAGGATGAATTTCGTTTGAGGAAGAGGCTAGAACAGGCACCTGGTATTTATAGGGCCCATGGGATTGTGCAAGTTTGACAGCTGAGTGCTTTGTCAATAATTAACTGCAACCAACCTTCTGGAAAGCAGGCCGGTTATCCCGCTTATCGCAGGTTGCAATGAAATGTGCAGCGAACTTGTTGCAATCCCCAAGGGTGAATTTCCACTGACCTTGTCAGTTATGTAATGTGACCATCAGCCAAGCCTCACCGAGCTGCACCAATTTGCATGGCTTTTGCAGACCTGTTCCCAACACAGGCGTGGGGACGGGTCAGGCAGAGGGCTTGGGAGTCAGCCAACCTTGGAGTCCGGGTACGTTAGCCCTGGATCGGCCACTCACTAATGATTCACATAACAGGGGAGACTGTCTCCCCATCCCTGTCACCAGGCAGATGATGTCAAAGTCAGAGGAAAGCATTGGGAAAGGTTCGAGATGATGCAACTTTACTTTGTCACTTTTTAAACAGGTTTCAGGACATCCTCACCCACTGCAGAGGGCTGACACAAAGCTCTCCCTCTCCTTTAATTCTGATTTATATGCCACCTTGAATGCTTTGCATTTTTACCCCATTTTAACGTCCCCTCTTGTTTCCCATCATATTTCCCCAAAAGCTTGGGAAAATAGGCTGATTCCATAACAATCTTGGCAGACTTATTGCCTCAAAGAACATCTTCTGGGGCTTCACTTCAAAGCATGATCTCTGTGGCTGTAAATTTTCTGAGGAGCACTGGTTAGGGGATCAAATTCCTGAAAGTTCTTCTTCACAAAATCCTGGGCTTGTAGATGTCAAACGACTGCAACAGCTTTTCACCCATGGGAATCCTCCCTTTGCCCAAATACCGTCACACATAGTAAACAGGTTAATCTCTGTCAAAGCCCAGGCATTTCTGCAGTTCCTAGCTCTGGCATTCTGGTTCAGTGGTTTGCTTCCTTATTACCTCGTTTATTATATTTAACTCAGAGTTAATGGTATTTTTGTTCTAAGAATTATTCGTAGGATGAAAACATTGCCAGTGTTTATGTTTAATCTACATACTAACGGGCAAGCTTAAGCATCTGAGAAAGTAGCAACAAGGTGAGTTACTTAAGTGTTTATGCAGTGAATAACAGTAAGATAAACACTGATTTCCCTCTTCTATCCATAAAATCTAATTAACCAGGAAGTGCCAAGTACTCCATAATGTCCTTTTTTGTACCTTTGCCTTGGATATTATATCTTTTTTTTTTGCCAGCAATTCTCCAGCTTTCCCCACTTCTAATGGAGAGGAGAGCTGGTTTGTTACTCTCTTTTCTCTTTCAGCGAACTGTCATTGGAACAGCCCGACAGAGAGACAGACACCTGACCTGCACCATGAACATGAAGAAACCAGGAAACAAACCCCTTCTCCTTTTATGAAGACCTACTGAAATGTGGTTATTCCCCCACCTGTCTTTCACATAGACAGGACAACAGTGTTGTGATGTTTTGCAAATAGAAGTGTGATTTTTGAGCACTCATTGCTCTGTAAAGAAGATCATGTTAGGGAGGTGTCGTGTTTCCAAAGATAAAATCAGAATGTGGCATTGGGGAAGGTGGTGACTACTCTTTGTTATCAGATACAGTATTTGGACAAGTTCCACTACCTTTCAGGGATACGCTGTTTCCCACCCGTGGAACAGAATAAATCTATTATCAGAGTCAAATTATTTAAATTTTGGTGATGCAGACTGCCGTAGCATTCATAGATTTTACTGAACAACCTTATTTCCTACAGAAGTAAATCAGCCCTCTAGGAAAGTAAGCGACATTTTAAGCCATGCTAGCACAGGCAGCCTGAAAATGTCATTCAGAGCAAAAGGAAAATTCCATGACTTTGGCTTCTAGTAAAAACAAAGACAGGTCTGAGCTGGTTGCTAAAACCGGGCCAAACTTGTATAAAACACCTGAGGAACAGAGCAATTTGTGCAGCACAGCAGTGACCTGGGGCTGGAACATGACAGTGTGTGCGTGGAGCTGTGTCCCATAGTAGTCAGAGCCAGGAAGGAGTCCTGCAGATCTCTGTTGAACATTATCTTCCAGATATGAACTGGGAATTCAGTGAGTAGTAGGTACGTACCACAGAGAAATCAAGGTCTCTAAGCAAATCGGTGTTTGGGGGACCTCACTTAAAACCTTATTCAAGAATACTGCAATGAAAATAAGACATTAAAGATTCTGTAAATATATTTGTAGCAAACAAGAGAAAAGGAAGACACATGTGGCACTCAAAAGACATTTAATTTTGCCTTTGAGATGAGGAAGAGATAGGCAGCTTATAACAGTAGAAGCTCCTTCACCTGTGCTCCAACAGCTTAGTGCAAAAGGAAGACTTGGATGACCATGAAGGACGCAACATCTCAGAATGGTGCGCCTTTTATTTCTCCCCATTTACTAATAGGCAATTTTGTAAACCTGTAGGGTATGAATAGATATTTATGCTTCTATGTTTGCAATCCAATTTTGCTGAGTTTTACCCTAGCAAAACAGCTTTCCAAATGTGATATTACAAGCAAAATCTGAAATGTTGAGTGGGATCAGCCCTTGCAAACATCACCCCGTCCTGATAAAGGAGCACACAATGACTGAGTAGATTTCTTGGTCTTCTGCAAGGTAGGCATTTTTCTTCTCTTCTTCCCTTCTTGGTTGACAAACTGTCTCCCATAATAGTTCATAGCGAGCACCACACATGGTGTTGTTTGCTTTTAGCCTCAACATTTTCTCAGAGACATTCTCTTAAGTGCAACTGAACAGCTAATGGATAATAAAATGTTTCTTTTAGAGTTTAAGAACTATTATACTTTTGAGAATTTTGATGTTATTTATAATGCAATACATATCTTTAGATGCTGGTAGGACTCGATTGTGCCATTTGAACTACAAGTATACCTTTAAAACCACATAGGCATGTGGTTATTTAGGAAAGTGTATGCTTACGTCCCACTAAAACCAAGTTCATGTTACACATATTTCAGTATTCTCCTGGCTTTCCTAACAATGGGCACAAGTCCTTATAATACATGCAGAATGATTTATGTCTTCAGTGCTTCATCTTCCATTAGTCACCAATAAGTTAATTAATTATGATAATTGTGTTGTTCAATTGTGCCCTTTGTCTGATGCTTCCAGGTTTTAGTAAACAAGATAAAAGAATGTAGACTGAAATCTTACATTCACTTTATCCCCATCATCATGTACACACAGGGAAATTTTAACAAACACATTTGGGTTTTCCTACTTTTGTAGCTGGCTAGTCCGCTTTTACAGTTTTCTGTGTGGGAAACCAATGTCAAACCAATTCACAGCTCTTTCCTTTACAGTGTGAGTAATGGGGTTGTTCCCTCACACAGCTGACTGCAGATACCTGGTGGTAAGAGATGCGCACTCTGCACCCCTGCCTGAATAGCTGCAGGTGAAGCTGGCATCCAGCTTGCCTCTCCACTGCATCTTACATCTCCTGACACATAGACATATCAATCCTGGTTCAGGGAAGGAGCAGCTCAGACCAATCAATCTGCAAATCCATGTGTATTCTCCACCACCGCCACGTCCATTTAGTCACTTGCCATCCCACGGGGTATTCTTTGGCATTGTCTTGCTAAGGGCACAATGAGAATGGGAACATGAGAGCTGATGTTGCTTCCTCCATGGAGCTGTAATAGTGGAAATCCTCAACAGATATGCTTTGCTCTCATGCAAAATATTCTCACATGTGACCTGTCAGTAGAGTGTTTTATGCCATTTCACATGGGCTAAATGCGTACACAAGGCTCAAAGCAAGGACCACCAGGCACATTTTACCTCTGTTCTTCCATCAGTCCTAACTGTGCCTGTGATAGCTAGAATGGTCCTCTATTAGAGAAACTCCTTGAACCTTTCAGAGGATGAAAAATACAGCAAAGAGCAGTTAAGGAATCCTGATGTGCAAAAGACTTGTAGCATCACTGAAAAGGCACAAATCTGAGGTGGGCAGAAGAGAAGGCTGCAGAGTCTCTGTGCACGTAAGGTTCAGGGATGCTGCAATGATGAGCTCTGGGGACCTAGTCAATTATTACCTACCCTTGAACGCTTTGATCTCAATTACATATGTCCTCATGTTGCAATCCATACAGTGAGTCAACATTAAATAGACCTTTATATGACAACGCTGAAAATCAGCATAGAGAATGTAATATCCTCTGTGCCTCTACAGCTCATGTAAAAGGAAGATTCCTCTGTAGAGGTGGAGGTGAGAAGGAATAATAATCGGTGTTTGAGAGGAAGACTAGGAGGCAAGATCTCCTATATGTTATGGAGAAAAGACTAGTATTTCTCCCATCATGCATGATGAGTTTCCTGATCTGTCACATGGTGCTAATGCTGTTGGAGAGATGATTTTCCTAGAAAGGACTGAGGCTTGTGTGGAAGATATCCAATGAAACAGCAGAGCAGCTTTAATTTTTAAGAATTATTGTGTAGCTGATGAAAAACTAAAACACTGGAAGTGTTTTCATTAGACAGTGAGCAGTGTCTAAATGCTTTCCTCTGTGCAGCACCAAAATGTCTACTCATAGAGTGTATCGGGTAGATTTCTGTTGACTTTGGCTTCATCATCATCAAAAATAAAATCACTGGAGCTCCTCTGGCTCGTTATAGGTAGGAAGCTGCTAATGCTGCAGCCACAAGAGTTGGAGTCATATATATATATCACAGGTCAGCATGGCATTGACCTTCACCTGCACATGCACGCTTGTTTTCATGTGTAATATACAAGCCCATTGTGTCTGCTGCATCCAAAATCTCATTATAACCTGTCGACTTGTAGCTAATACAGTTAGTAGAGTATGAACCGAGTGATTCAGCTGACCTCTCTGTGTCTGTGCAAACAGGTTAAAAAGTGCCAGGACACTATCACTGAAAGTTGATCATCCATAACATTAAATTATTAGAACAGCCCTGGCAGTTTTTAGCCATTGCTAGCTCTCTGCCAAAAATT